GATGGCCCTGTAATTGGAACCTGCAAATTAAACTGACAAAAGAGAGACTCACAGAAGAAAGGGCATAAAAATTGTATTGGATGTTACTATTTCAATTTTACGTGCACACACAAAAGGAAGTGAAAACCCAAAGAGGCTGTTAGTATTGTATACCGTGTTAACAAATGGAGATAAGTTTGTGAAACGATAAGATATAGGAGGAGAAGTTTGGGAGTAAACTAATTGAAGAAAAGGGTTGCAGCCTCCTGATAACCTTATAATGTTTGTTTATGCAGACCCACCTTTGTGCCATTGACAATGGTATTTTCTTCCTCCTGGTATGGGAAAGGAAAAGGGCCACACTTTCACAAAGGGAAATTACCTCCTGTTAGGCAGCTAAATTCAGGGTGGAGAGCTTTTATTACATCCATTGTTTCTCAGTTGTCTTCAGCTCAAATAATCCTTATGCCAAAGTGGATATTTTGGGGTAGAATATTCTGATCCCCTTCAATAGAATAATAATTAGTAAGTTAGGAGTTTTGAGTATTTGTTACCTTTATTTAATTTAATTGTAAGTTCAATTTAATTTTAATGATTGTGGTTAGCCGGGCTGGTGTGGCTCAGAGTTTGAGCATGGACCTATGAACCAGGAGATCATGGATCAATTCCTGGTCAGAGCCCAGTTGCGGGCTCCATCCCCAGTGGGGGGTGTTTAGGATTCTGTCTTATTATTGGTGTTTCTATCTTCTCCTTCTGCCTTCCTCTGAAATAAATAAAAATAGATTTTAAATAATAATGCCTGTGTTTAAAAACCAGCTCACAAAATTTTTGAAATTGAAAAATTGATTCTACTGAGCCAGTGCAAGCCAGTTCCAGTTCACCACCCAAACCATGTGAGTCAATTTCCTGTAAAATTGTAGTCTGGCTCCTGCCTACTTTTTTTTTTTTCTTTTTCCTTTTTTTTTTTAAACCTTACAATCCACTCCTCTGCCTCTTCTGTAAGCTCCAATGACAATTTTCTTTCTTTCAGCCACTTGAAGACACCAAGCTCCTTATCTGGAGACATTTTTATCTTCTGCTTGCTGTGCCTGGAAACCTACCACTTTCCTAACATTGCCTGTTTGCATCATGAAAAGTAATGTCCCCTCATAGAGAGACCTCACCTGACTACTTGTGCTAAAATAACCGTCGTTGTTTATCCCACTCCTCTGTTTTTAGTTCCTTATCGCACATGCACTTCTGTTTTTCACGTCCATATTTTAAATATCATGTTATTCTACTTATTTTTTTTTTTAGATTACCTTTATCTGGTACCTTCCTACAATGTGAAATGAAAATTAGCTCTCACACAAAACCATGACAGCACACGCACACACACACACACACACACACGCACACGCGCACACACACGCACACGTATATACACATTCATCCTCTACCCTCATCTTCCTAATTTTTTTTTGCTCTCACTCGAGGATGTTTTTATTGATTTTTAGAGTTACAAGGATATGAGGTATTGGTGAACATATTCCAGTTTCTAGAAGGTTAAGCAGATACTACTGATATTACACTAAACAGATAAATGTAACTCCTGGGCCTAATCCCAAGGCTACACATTAGAGCAATTTTCTTTCTTTTCTTTTTTTTTTTTTATATATTTTATTGATTTTGTACAGAGAGGAAGGGAGAGAGATAGAGAGTTAGAAACGTCGATGAGAGAGAGTCATCGATCAGCTGCCTCTTGCACACCCCCTAACTGGGGATATGCCCGCAACCAAGGTACATGCCCTTGACCAGAATCGAACCCGGGGCCCTTCAGTCCCCAAGCCGACACTCTATCCATTGAGCCAAACCGGTTTTGGCACATTAGAGCAATTTTCAATGGTGAAAATAATTTTAAAAGTTATTTTCAACGTGTTACAGACCCCTTGTAAAATAAAATAAGCATGAATTACAAGAGCTCTGGCTAGTGTGGCTCGGTTGGTTGTCATCCCATGCACCAAAAGGTTGCGGGTTTGATTCCTAGTCAGGGCACAAGCCCAGATTGCAGGCTCCATCCCTGGTGGGGTGGGTGCAGGAGGCAGATGATTGTGTCATCCTCACATCCATCTCTCTCTCTCTCTCCCTCTCCCTTCCTCTCTCCCTAAAAATCATATTTTAAAAAATCTTTTTTTTAAAAAGGAGTTTGCTAGAGAGAGAAAAAAAAAATTAAGATGTACAAATTATAAGCCCACTGGTCACATGTTTGTGTGCCACAGCACTGTCAAATTGCTGTAAAAGTTTCTAACTACCGTCAGTGTCTTTATCAGGAAACATGCAATTCAGAAACTGGCATACCACACTCAAAGCAGCACAATCTGAAAGATCTACCTGCAAGCTATCCACACCACCCTTTATGCTCTAACCCTCCCCGCTCCACTTCTCAGGTCAAGCCTACCAGGAATTGTTCTCTTGTTACTGATGAACTAATTTGAAAAAAAAATTCTTATTATTCAAGTAGTATACATGTTTATTAGATAAGTAATAAAAAATAAACATTTAAAATTTATCCTTAATTCTTTCACCACTGTTAACATTGATATCCATACTCATACACACATTGTTTTACACACATATGCATATTTGAATAGGAGAGGGAAAAGCTAACACAGCTTATTACAGATAGCTCTCTAACAAACTTTTCTTTAAAAATTGTACATTATGATATGGAACATTTTCCATGTCAATGTGTGTGTTTATAACATCACTTTTAGTATTCTCACAAGATTCTATTGTATGAATGCTTCATTTATTTAATATCTTCTTATCAGTCAGCAAGCAACTATTACTTATTGATCACCCATTCTTTGCTAGAAATAGAGGGTATAGAAATAAGCAAGAAAAGAGTCTGCCTTAAGGGAACTTACATTGTAGGGGGACGAGATAGATAGTAAACATTTTCAATAAATACACATAAAAAGGATACTGATTTGTCAGCATCTGACCACCTTTAGCCTTCATCACATGAGAAGTGGGAAGCAGGTGTGTGAAATTATTTAAGTCAAAGTGCCCAATAAAACTGATTCAGACATGTTTGCAGAATTAAATGGGATGTTTAAAATTCAGTTCTTAATTTAACATTCAGGATGTATTTGGAAAAATTATGCAATCTGCATGAACTACCACTAATGCTGGCTTGTGGTATTTTACACACATGTATTATACATTGAAATCTCCAAGCACAGTAACAGGAATAAAACTCACAATTTAAATATTGTAAAGAATATTAAAAGTTTCACAATAGTCCTAATGTTTCATTTACATTTACATTTAGTTTTTCACTTTTAAAAAATCTATAAATTAAGCACTGTCATAGGATGTTTATAAGTACAAATTAACATTTTTAAGACAGTTTGTGTCAAAATTTTAATTTGCATCCTCTTTTATGAAGATATATATATATATATATATATATATATTAGAACTACATGCACATTGTGAAAACAAAATTACACAATATAAAAGAGCCTATATAGAAAAAGGGTAATATGCAAATTGACCCTAATGGTGGAACAACTGGGAATGACTGGTTGCTCTGACATGCACAATCACCAGTTAGTGAGCTCCCTCAGGGGGAGCTCTGCTCAGCCACAAGCCAGGCTGATGGCTGCAAGTGCCTCTCCTGCCTCCGCAGCAGAACTGAAGATGTCTGACTGTGGCTTAGGGGAGTGGGCCTAAGCAGTCAGTCAGACACCCCCCAAGGGCTCCGGGGCTGCCAGAGGGATGTCTGACTGCCAGCTGGCAGGTGAACATGCCTTGAGAGCCCTGAACTGTGAGAGGGCACAGGCCGGGTTGAGAGACCTCCACTCCCCCATCAAGTGTACAAATTTTTGTGCACCAGGCCTCTAGTATTGGAATAAAATTTTGTATTCATCCCTAAACCCAAATCCCCTTAGTTCCTGGGTCCCTCCCCAGAGAAATCACTGTTAGCTGTTTCTGGTACCCATTCCAGAAAAAGTAATGCAAAATATATATGTCACAGCAATTTCACTTCTAAAAATCTAACAAAAATAATTGTACAGGTATACAAATAAACATATAAGTTTATTCACTTTGTAATTGTAACAGCAAATATCAAAACAGTCTGAATGTCCAGTAATAAAGAATAATTAAATTATGGCATATCCATACTTAGGAATGCTGTGCAATTATAAAAAAGAATGAGTAGGATCTATATGTATTAATTTGAAAAAGTCTCCAACATATATTGTTAGGTAAAGAAAGCAGAAAATATGTATAGTTTTATCACATTAATGCAAACAAATAATCCTCTATGATGTATATACATATATAATAGACTGTATAACCATGTGCTTATATACATATACATTGTTTAAATTTATGTATATGAAAAGAGCTGGAAGAATCACACATCTATTAATAGAGAAAGATAATCTGTCAAGAAAGGACTGGGCTAGAAGAAATGGAGAATTTTTTACTTTACAGTTTTATATTATTTGAAATTTTTTCTCTAAGAATGTATTTATGTAATATTTATTCTTCTTTGTGAATAGTGTAATCAGTTTTAATAATTTTTAAGGACACTGTCACTGTTTCTTTTATTAAATGAGGTAAATACAGAAGTTAGGTTTGCCATCTGAGATATTTCATATAATAATTTTAAGTAAATCTCAGCAGTAATATGAATAATTTTGAATTTAAAAAGTAATGAGATGTTAAGTAGGGAATATAATTTACATATTTTCCCCTGAAGTATCCTGAAGAACACAGATAAACTACACTTTGTTCCTTCCCCACCTGCTAGATAGAAAGAGTATATCTTAAAATAGCAAAATTTACTCAGTTTGGACTATGATAAAGCATCTTACAACCATATTACTACTGTAAATTTAATATATGGCATTATTCATTTATTCATACAACTTTTATTGATTTTTCACTGAATTCTAGTGACAGTTTCATAATGAATGTATAATTTTAAATATACCCATTTTGCTTATTTTTTTTTTTTAGGACTTTAAATGTATTTTATACAAGAAGAGGACTTTGCAAAGAGTGATGAAGCTGCCAGAGTCATTCAGAAGGCCTGGAAAAGGTTTATTGTGAGTTTTTTGTTTGTTTGCAACTTTATTGCTAAATAATTTACATTTCAGTAGTTTTTAGTATATTTAGAGGTGCTTTAAAGGCAGATTGTTTTTAAAGTTTCAAAAAGTTAATATTAATTATCTTATTAGCCACACAAATATAGAGTTGCTAATCTGGGTCAGGCACTTTGATAATAGTTGCTATCAATGAAAGTATCACTAATTAGCTCATTTGGCTTTCATCCCTAAAAACTTATTTATTGACCCTGGAATCAGGTTTGTGAACAGGTTTTAGGGATACATTCACTCATTAAATACTAATTGAATAACTACTCTTGAGGACTTAAAATTCAATAATATACCATATCTGGGTTAATGTATTAGTTCCTTACCATTCTTTAATATGGGTTGAGCTGGTCTTCTTATCCAGAAAGGAATATTCCAAGTTGATTTACTTGGTTAGGTGAGAGGCAAGAGCTAAAATGACTTCACTCTTCTCTTTCTGATAGCAGCAGCACTCTGCCTGCTCGATAATTTTGTGTGAAGTCGTTTGGCTCTGTTTCTAGCACAGAAGAACAGCTTTGTTATCAGTTAATCATGTCTTGCAAAGTAGTTTCCATTTCTTCCTCTATTGCCTCTATCAAAGCCATAAAACCTATTCTAGGGGTAACTATTAATTTTCAACATTAAAAATCTATTCCTTTGGTGATTTCCCTCAGCATACTTATCTAGGCTTAAGTTTTAAGTTCTTTTATCTTACATCCAAATCCAAATGGCACATGCCATTAAAGCCGATTATATTCCTGGCACTGTGCTAGCATTTTACATTACATCCTTGCCCTTAAGGAGTTTCAGTAGAGAAGACATGCCTATAAACAAACAAGTTGTATATGTGTGGTAGACTGAGCACACATATTCACTTTCTATTCCTCCAAAACACCATTGAAATAACAATATGTAGAAACTTAACCTATAGCACAGAGAAGGGAGTTCGTGAGCAAATAAATTTTATTTCATTTATGGAAAACCAAAAGAGATGGTAGCATCCTGTTGGACAAATCTGTATAGAAGACTTGCCTAGTAATACTTTAAAGAAGCCCGAGTGAGAAAGCTATAATAGTTTGCCATTGTAACCCTCAAAAGGATATCAGTTAGGACTCAGCAACTTAGAAAGCCTGGAAGAAAATGACTGTAAACAAGGGAGCTGACTGAAAATCTGTACCAGTTGACTCAGTGGTTGAATGTCAACCTATGAACCAGGAGGTCAATGTTCGATTTCCAGTCAGGGCATATACCTGGATTGTGGGCTTGATACCCAGTGTGGGGCGTGCAGTATGCAGCTGATCATTGATTCTCTCTCATAATTGATGTTTCCATCTCTCTCTTCTCTCTGAAATCAATAAAATATATATATATTTAAAAGTAGTTAGAAACTCTGAAAAAGGGCCAACCATGAAAGTCATGGTTCAAGTATTAAGCAAATGAAAATAGTTTTAAGATTAAAAGGAGAGTACATTTGATCCTGATTCTAAATACATTCTACTCGGGTAGCACAGAGGGTGACTTGTAAATAAGGATTCATAGTTTTAGCATATTATATGGTTTATCCTATCTAATAAAGATGGAATATGCTAATTGACCTCACAAAGATGGCGGTGGTTTGGTTCAGTTGATAGAGCACCACACTGTGGACTGAAAGGTCCCGAGTTCGATTCCAGTCAAGGGCATGTACCTTGGTTGCAGCAATATCCCCAGTAGGAGGTATGCAGTAGGGAGTTGATCGATGTTTCTCTCTCATTGATATTTCTAACTATCTTTCTCCCTTCCTCTTTGTGTAAAATCAATAAAATATATTTTTTTAAAAGAAATTTATCTGAAACAAATTCAGAGTAATGATGGTAAAGGTGCTCAACAGCATCAAAAAAGATATAGTGGCTATGAAAAACAGAACAGTCTGAGATAAAGAATGATATAAAACAAAGAACACATTGGAAGGAATACACAGTGGATTAGGGAAGCTGAGGATGGAATCAGTGAATTAGAAGACAGAGTTGAAAATATCACTCAATTAGAAAACCAAACAGAAAAAAAAATTAAAAAACAAGAGGACAGCTTAAGGGGGCTGTGGAACAACGTGAAATATAATAATATTAGAATAGCTGGTGTGCCTGAAGAGGCAGAAAGGAAGAAAGGAATAGAGAATGTATTTGAAGAAATAATGGCAGAAAACTTCCCAACCTGGTAAAGGAAAAAGTCACACAAGTTCTGGAGGCACAGAGAACTCCAAGCAAGGAGAACCCAAACAGGCCTATACCCAGACACATCATAATTAAAATGCCAAAAATTAAAGACAATGAGAGAATCTTAAAGACAGCAAGAGAAAAGAAAACTTACCTACAAAGAAGTTACCATAAGACTGATACCTGATTTCTCATCAGAAACTCTATGGGCCAGAAGGGAATGGCATGAAGTACTCAAGATAATGGAAAGCAAAGTTCTAAGACCAAGATTACTATATCCAGCAAAGCTATCATTCAAAACAGACGTACAAGCAAAGAGACCAAAAAAAAAAAGGCTAAAGTAGTATATCACACCAAGCCAGGATTACAAGAAATGCTAAAGGGAAACAGAGAAACCTAGCCATACAGAATTAAAATGGCAATAAATAAATATCTATCAATAATAACCCTAAATGTAAATGGGTTTAATGTTCCAATCAAAAGGTGTAGAGTAGCTACAAAACATGTATCCAAAAATCATGGATACAAAACCATGACCCAAATATATGTTGTCTACAAGAGATCCTTCTCAAAATAAAGGACACACAGAGAATGAGAGTGAAGGGATAAAAATGCTTGTGACCCAAAAATGCTTGTGCATACTTGTTGAAAATCGCTAGTTTAGTGTGATGGGGAACAAGTTCATATCAGTGAAATTCATGTGCATTGATGTACTACATTTGCTGTGAAGCAATTTCTCTGCTCATAAGTAATGTTATGTGCAATATTATGACAGTGAATGAAACATATTGAAAGTATACAGATGGTGTGTCCATAGAGGGTAAAGTGTCACTTCCAGTGAGTATAAAGTTGTTCCCCTTCTATAATGGAAATGCTTCACTTAATCAGTGTGCCACAGAAAGCTGGCTAATTAACCCAAGGAACAATGCCATATCAAGGGCTCAGTGTTGATCTCTGTTTTGGCAAAGTGGCCACTCAGCAGTGGACAGTAGCTGAGCCAATGAAAGACCTCCAACTTTGCTGCATGGCCACTTTGTTCATGAGCAAGGAGAGCAGTGGCTGGAGAAATGGCTGGCTGACTCCAAAGAACCAGTCACTTTGCCTATATGATTGTTAAGTGTCTTTGCTAGATTTCTTTCAGTTGAGCATCCATATGGACATAAATATATCCACACTTGGAATGCATTTGGGGGTGGGTGGTTGATTTGACCTTTTCTCCAGACCTTCTTGTCACCAATTTTCTAACCATGTTCTTTCCAAATTCCTGACCATCCAGTCAAACCATCAGTCACTGCCCCATCTGTACCTCTGATCATCTTTCCTTCTAGGCACAATCTACAACCATGTATGCTGCTTGAGATTCTGTCCTATGGAAGGATTTATCTTCATGCCTGTCCTTCAGGGTCACCTTGAGCGAGGCCAGTGTCTACATGGAATTTCCTATAGGTCATACTTTGAACTTTACCTCTTGAAGTCTGCTAGGTCTTGACTTTGACTAATAAAATGGCAGAACAACTGATGCTGTATGACTTACAAGACAAGGCCTTAAGAAGCCTTGCAACTTCTACTTTTTCTCTCTCTGGTACTTTGAAACTCCATGCAGTGAAAAAACTCAAACTGAAAGTATATGTGAAGATAGAGTCCCAGCCAACACAGATATTTTAATATTCCAAGCAGAAGACCCAGATATTTATGTGAGGTAATATTAATCACTCAGCTCCATGTGATCTGGCAGCTGACTATAGGCACATATGTAAAACCAGCGGAAGTTCCTTGTCAACCCACAGAAAATAGTTCTTGCTTTAAGTTTGGGGTGATTTGAAACAGTGATTTACATATTTAGAAGATACTATCCATATTTTAAACCATCATAATTTTTTTGATACTCAATTTTGGGTTTTACTTCAAGGAAATTATATCTTCCTTGCAGAAATAGTATTATCTATGTTGATAGTGACTGCACTTTCACAGGCAGTTGAAATGGGGCTTCAAATTGTCATATTGGTGCTATGGATTTGCTTCAGTTTGAATTTGTTTGATTTGACTTAACATAAGCAGACTAAGCGGGTCTGCCCCCACGGTGACGCAAGGTAGGAAGTCTTGCGAGGTCGGAGTGCTGTGGGGAGCGCTGGTGGGACGCGGTTCCTGGTCCAGGGATGGGGCCCAGCCCTGCGGATCCCAATCCCCACCCCCCCCCCTCCCCCGTTGCCCGCGGACTACCTCAGCCTTGTTCGGCCGCTGCTCGCTAAAGAAGCTGAACAGGCGAAAGGACTCTCTTCCCCTGGGTGCTTAGGACCCTGTTGGCAGAGGCTCTGAGTCCTAATCGCCCGAGGGCTGCGAGGGACTGAGACCAGAGTATTCTTTTAGAAATGAGTTGCACAATTGAGAAGGCACTTGCTAATGCCAAAGCTCTGGTTGAGAGGCTGAGGGATCATGATGATGCAGCAGAATCTCTGATTGAGCAGACCAAGGCTCTGAACAAGCGAGTAGAAGCAATGAAGCAGTATCAGGAAGAAATTCAAGAACTTAATGAAGTTGCAAGACATCAGCCACGGTCTACATTACTTATGGGAATCCAGCAAGAAAACAGACAAATCAGAGAATTGCAACAAGAAAACAAAGGCAAGATATATTATTACTACATACAGCAAATCAAAAGAGAACTTTACTCCTGGCTAGCATGACTCAATGGTTGAGTCTTGACCTATGAACCAGGAAGTCATGGTTCAATTCCTAGTCAGGGCACATGCCCTGATGGAGTGCAGACTCCCTCCCCAGTGTGGGTCATGCATGGGGAAACCTATCAACGATTCTCTCTCATCAATGATATTTCTGTCTCTCTCTCTCTCCCTTCCTTCCTCTCTGAAATCAATAAAAAAAATTTTTTTTTAAAGAGAGAGAACTTTGCAATTGTACTGTCAACTTGGGATCAATTAATATTGTCAAACATGGGGAAATAATCAACTAAATTTACTTTTTGATGTTAATTTCATTCAACTTCATAGGTCTAAATCATATTTATTGCCCTTCTCCTGTTCTACATTTGAATATCTGCCTTGCTTGGAGTCATCTTAGATTCTGACTATAAATTTTCAGTGTGTGCCATTGTTGTTACCTATAAAATAACTCAATTTTATTCTCTGCAATCCCACCACTTTGTGTCCCAGCTTAGGTGTTCATATTCTCTTCCTGAACTATCCTAATTAGTCTTCCTGATTCCATCCCGTGCAATCCATCTTCAACACTGGCATCCCATTGATTGTTTTTTAAAATTATCTGATCATATTATTTTGCTTAAGGTCTTGTACAACATCAGGTCTTCCAATGATGTCAATTTGTTTATAATTTCCTTATATTGTTGATGAAATGATGTAGGAAGTTAATTCTTTTTTATGTCATTTAGACTTTGGTAAAATTGATTTTGTTATATGTCATTTTGCTTAAAGTCATAGAACCTAAAAAAAAAAACAACAACAACAAAAAACAACAACACATAAGCAGACTAAGAGTGGGGCAGTTTACCAAGAGTTATTAGGGGTTTTTGAGGGGATAGGATATGAGGAGTGTGTTACCAAAGAAACAGTTTTCAAAAATTGAAGACTTTTTAGGAATTGTTTGACTAAATTTGTGCCAACATAAAAAACAGACAGGGTTTGTAAATCAGTGGACTTACTTAACAGGAATGAAGAGGATTCTGTAATGATAATAATAGATAATATTTATTGAGTGCTTTTTTTTTTGTGCCAAAGGTTGTTCTAAGTGATTACAAATATTAACAGATTCATTTTTAACCAACATGTAGATAGTTACTATCATTCTCCTGTTTTAGGTAAGCTGAAGTTAAGCAACTTGTCCAGAGTCACACAGCTAGCAAATACTAACAGTTGAACCTAGACAACAGTATGACACAGTCAATGTTCTTAATCACTAGCTTGTATTTTGTCTTTCTCCTAGATTACTCTGGAGTATACAGAAGTGACCCAATCAAAGTTCTAGATATTTTATTTATAGCTGTTAGTAATGCAATTACAAACTTAAGGCTAAAACTTGTTGTGAGAATAATACCAACATTGCATGGCTTGTCAAAGGAAACCCAGAGTGGATCATATATCTAAAATCTAGTTTATATATATAAAACCTATTTTATAGTTTTTGCCCAATTTTAACCATAAAATTTTATGTTTGAACTTTTAGAATACTTCTATTTTCAAATACTTTAAAAATCTGATTAATATAAGAAGACAAGGGGATCCACGTCAGATAATAAGATGCATTAATCCTAGAGAGGTAAGGACATTATTTATTGATACAGCATTTTCCCCTCTTAAAATTGTGTGCCTACTTTATAAATTCAATGTGATTGTGTTTGTTCCTTTTATAAACATTTTTAATGAAGTATTGTTCACTTCCAAAAATTCATTATACATAAATATATAAAGTATAACCATCATACTTCAAACCAATGCCTTCTGGTGCTCTGCAATTTACTGCCAACTTTCTTTCTTCCAAAGAAATAGTAACCACTATTTTGAATTCTAATATTGTACATTAGTTTTTTGTTTTTAAACTATATATAAATAGGATCCTATAGTATACTTTTGTATCTAGCTTTGTTCATTCAACATCATCTTTGTGTAGCTAAATTTCATTCACTTTGTTAAAAATAATGGAAATATACTGTTTTATTAATATATTGCTATTTACTCATTCTATAGTTGATTGACATTTGGATTTTTTTTTTCAAATTGAGGCTATTATAAAGATTGTTTCTGAGAATAGTCTTATTTATGTCTCCTGGTGCACATATGCATGAATTTCTTTTGATTTCTACTCCACCTGGAAATGGAATTTGTTGGTGACAAGATATGCCAAACTGTTTTTCCAAAGTTATTGTATTAATTTATATTCACCATCAGAGGTCTTTTTGAATTCTTGGTGCTCTACACCCTCATCAGCACTTAATATTGTCAGTTTTAAATTTTGCATTTCCCTTATAACTCATTAAGTTGAGCATCTTCTTGAGGAGTTCAGCTCCTGGTTAAAATCCTATGTGACTTTTCAGGCCTGATTCCAGGCAGTTACACAGGCTAACTGGCTTCTCAGGGGAAAGAAATCATACTTGGCACACAGCCAAAGCATTATAGCCTCTGAAGGGAGATGAACTAAAGGACTCAGGCCCCCTGAGTGGGGCCTGCTTTTTTTTTGAATTTACATTGCTACCTAAGTATCTTCATTCCTAGGTCTTTTTTCTGAAGCCTTGGGCAGAGGTCTTCAAATACCTCTGCAGATACCTTCTTACAGGAGAATTCTTGAAGACATTTTCCCTATTCTGACTCAGTCCACTCTGACCCTCCTTCATCAATACCACCCCACCACTACCCTCACCACACACACACAGGCACACTTCAGAGTCCGTTAAATAGCCAGAGCCTTTTGTTCTGGACACCCTCAACAGTGAAAGGACACCCACATATTCACTGATGCACCTCACTCCCTACTACTGGGTAGTTCCATGGGGAAAAATCAAACAAGAGAGATGTTGCTTCTTTCAGTTTTAGACACTTTAACTCCTGCTTATACTATTGGGGAAAATAATGAAAAGCTTCCTTTCCTGCCTTTGCAACTGTCGCTCGGTTGGGCATTCTGTACACCAAAATATAGAGGGTTCAATTCTTGGTCAAGCCCTAGGTTGCATGCTCAATCCCCAGTATGGGGCATGCAGGAAACAATTGCTTAATATTTCATTCTCACATCAACATTTCTTCCTCTCTTCTTCACTTTTCCTCTCTTTCTAAAAAAAAAGAAAATATTCTTGAAATAGACAATGGCTGAACTATATGGCAAATACCACTAATAGTAAATTCTTGTTGTGTGTCTTAGTATAATTTTAAAATTTAAAAATATTGGGATTTTTATTGTATTGTATGAAATATTTAGATCAATTTGAGGAAAACTGACATTTTAATACTAAGATTAATACTCATGATTGTGATAAACATGGAAATATGCTGCCCAGATTCTTCTTTATAAGAGGATTTTACCCAGTTGTAGGGAGTGCCACCAGCAGATAGCCCCTAGCTGCAAGCATCTTCAGTTTTTATTTTACCTGCAGAGAACTGTTACCCAAGGTCAACTATTTCTAGGGAAGCCTACATCCAGTGACAGAGCAGTATGGGGGAAGGGGAGGGAGCTGGGAATGGGGAAAAGGATATAAAGACCAATGTGAGGTAGAACAACTCTGTTGGGCAATATTCACTCTAGAGCTCCCTGCAAGATTGCCCCAGGTGTTGAGGGGTCTGCATTGCAGTTCAAATCCATCCTTCCTCTGGCTTTCATAGGTGTTATCCCTAATAAGCATGAGATACACAAATTTCTTATCAGCATCTTATTCCAGAAACCCTAATCTGCAACGTTATTAAGCTCTTCTTGTCTCTCTCAATAATGCTGTATTGTTTTCTGTATAGAGGAGTTGCACATCATTTTGTTAGCTTTATATCATCCATTTTTATGCAGCTATAAATGGTAATTAGAAAACTTTAGTTGTACATGCTCCCAGGAACAAACTGGAATTACACTAAAATACAGAAAAACTTCCTGAATAACCAACGGAAAACTCACAGGAGAGAACCCTGATACCTGAACCAAAAATAGAGACCACATAGAGACTGGTAGGAAGGGGCAGAGGTGTGAAAGAGCTGGCATGGCACACACAGATAGCAACTGAAGTCCCGAAGAGATATCTCAGCTGTGTGTGTGTGGGGGGGGGGTGCCACTGAGAAGTCTGGGACCTAATTCCCAAGTTAGGCCCCCCAGCTGAGAGCACCAAAACTGAGAAGGGTACCCACATAACATCTGGCTATGAAAAGCAATGGATGCTGTCTTCCAGGGAGTGAGAGCTGAAAATGCAGGCATCCTATTAAAGGGCAAATGCACAAAATTCCCTGTGGAGCTACCCACCTTGTGCTCCAGCAGAGGAAGGGTGAAGTGGACTGGACCTGTGAGAGTAGAAGCCAGGACTGGGGACTCAGGGGTAGAGCTCAGAAAGTAAACACAATTTTCTGGGCTGAGTCATTTTCTCATGCACTGGAGGACATCTTTCCCACATAAACATTTGCCTTGCCTGGCAGGAAGACAGTTGACACACCCTATTGGAAAACATTTTGCCATTAGGCCACTTAAGAACATAAAAATAACAGTTTGCTGCCAGATAGAAGCAACTGCCCCACCCTGAGGAAAACTCTCGCCACACTTGAGGATGCTTGCCTGAGGGGTAGTTCAAGTCAGAATCCTATCAGTCTGTAGGCAGAGACAGTCTCTGGGTCTTTGCCTGATATAATTAGTCAGAAACAGCCTTTAACACCGTCCTGCACTAGAGATTGAGAGATGTAGAAGATCTACCTAACACATAGTCACAAATTCAAACAGAAAGCCAATATGAGGAGACAACCCCCAAATGAAAGAACCAGAGAATTCACCAGAAGAAGAGATAAATAAAGCAGAGATAAGAAATTTATCTGAGCCGAAACCGGTTTGGCTCAGTGGATAGAGCGTCGGCCTGCAGACTGAAAGGTCCCAGGTTCAATTCCGGTCAAGGGCATGTAACTTGGTTGCAGGCACATCCCCTGTAGGGGGTGTGCAAGAGGCAGCTGATCGATGTTCCTCTCTCATCGATGTTTCTAACTCTCTACCCCTCTCTGTTCCTCTCTGTAAAAAATCAATAAAATATATTTTTTTAAAAAGAAATTTATCTGAAACAAAGTTCAGAATAATGATGGTAAAGGTGCTCAACACCATGAAAAAAGATATATATATCTTTATATATATATATATATTTATATATATATATATAATCCTAATATGCAAATAGACCAAATTGTGGAACAACCAAACAACCAGTAGCTATGACGTGCGCTGTCCATGCCGGAATGCATGCAGAACATGCCAAATAGTGGCAGAGCATGAAACAGGTGTGCATTGGCCATGGCAGGATGGTGGAGCAGGTGAACAGGGGCGTCAAACCAAGGTGGGCACTGGTGCTGTCATCAGGGCTAGCCTCTGGTGGTTACTGAAAATTCTTTGCTCCTATGCACCGCAGCTTGCCAGGATCTTGCATTTGCTGCTGATGCTAGCCCCACTCGCATCCGCAGCTGGCACTGACCCCAGTCGTTCCATGCCCTCAGTTGGTGCAAATGGGGCCAGTGCCATCAGCACATGGTAGTGGCAGTGGCAGGAGAGGGGTTGCCAGAAAACAGGGGACTAGGGCCCACAGTGGGAGAGGGTAGGTGGGGGTGTGGAGGATGGGCCAAGACCTGCCCCTGTGCCCACTGCAACTTTGCAGCTTATAGTTCCTTTAAAAGTGCACAAATTTGTACAATGGGCTCATAGTAATAAATATATAAGAAAGAAAGAAAGAAAGAAAGAAAGAAAGAAAGAAAGAAAGAAAGAAAGAAAGAAAGAAAGAAAGAAAGAAAGAAAAGTCTGAGATAAAGAATGACATTAAAAAATAAGGAACTCATTGGAAGGAATACTCAGCAGATTAGGGGAAGCTGAGCATAGAATCAGTGAATTAAAGACAGTGTTGAAAAAAATCACGCAATCAGAGAACCAAAAAGAAAAAGCAATGTGGAACAATGTGAAATGTAACAATATTAGAATAGCCAATGTGCCTGAAGAGGCAGAAAGGGAGAAAGGAATAGAAAATCTGTTTGAAGAAATAATGGCAGAAAATTTCCCAACCTGGTAAAGGAAAAAAAAAATCACACAAGTTTAAGAGGCACAGAGAACTCCAAGCAAGGAGAACCCAAACAGGCCCTCACCCAGATACATCATATTTAAAATGCCAAAAGTTAAAAACAAAGAGAGAATCTTAAGAGCAGCAAGAGAAAAGAAAACTGTTACCTACAAAGAAGTTACCATAAGACTGATACCTGATTTCTCATCAGAAACTCTATGGGCCAGAAGGGAATGGCATGAAGTACTCAAGATAATGGAAAGCAAAGATATAAGACAAAGATTACTATATCCAGCAAGGCTATCATTCAAGAAAGACAGTCAAATAAAAAAACAAAAAGTGGCTAGGGTGTATATCACCACCAAGTCAGGATTACAAGAAATGTTAAAGGGACTGCTTAAATGAAAAGAAGAAACAGAGAGAGAAACCTAGCCAAACAGAATTCAAATGGCAATTAATAAGTACCTATCAATAATAACCCTAAATGTAAATGGATTAAATGCTCCAATCAAAAGGTATAGAGTAGCTGAATTGATACAAAACCATGATCCAAGTA